GTATTTTCCATCACAAGTTTTTACACACGGGCTTCACAAGGAGAAAATTTCATGTTGGTTCACCTTCCCCACGAAGAACTAGAACTAAATATTTTCTTATAATCCCCTCTTATATATACTTCCTCTCAAGGGGGGGGGGGGGATAAAAGTTCTTAGACTTGCACCTAAGGTAGCTTTACCCCCCCCCCCCCTTGAGAGGAAGCATATAAGGAGGGAAATTATATATTTAGTTCTAGTTCTTCGTTTAGGTGAACCAACATGAAATTCTCCTTGTGTCCCGTGTGTAAAAACTTGTGATGGAAATACAAACATTATCGGGAACTTGTACATCAGATCGACTTAGAAGCAGGGTCTCTTAAGGGACTTGGAAATGCTAGGCTTATTTACCCCCCCCTTGAGATGAAGCATATAAGGAGGAGGAATTATATATTTAGGTTCTTCGTTGGGAAGGTGAACCAACATGAAATTTTCTCCTTGTGAAGCCCCACTACAAACATTATCGAGGAACTTGTACATCAGATCGACTTGCAGAGAAAGGTATGTTAGGAAGTGATTAAGAATACTTAGTGAAGAAGTGATAAGGTAGCCCCCCCCCTTTTGGGAATATAAGGAAGTGATAAGAGAAGTGAGAATTAGTTTTTAATTTTCTCCAGGGAAGTAGAACTAACATGAAATTTTCCCTGAGGAAGCTGCATTAGCAAATATATTGTGATGAATACACCATTGAGAACTTATAGATCTAACTGACATCGAAACAGAACAAGGTAAGTAAAAGGAAATGAATAAGGAAATCATGAAAATTTTACATAAAAAAGTGATTACGGAAGTTACAAAAAAATATGATCGGAAGGGATAACGGAGTAGGAATTAAAAATGTGTTTTTTTAGATAGGAGTAAGATAGAAAGATACTGGAAGAAAGTGTTTAAGATAGACCCTGATGGCAACTGGACAAGATAGCAGACAGGCTACACCTTTGCGACCCAGCAAATTACGATCCCCTAACAGTGATAAACTTTCTCCTTGACTTAGCAACACGACAAACCATCAAGCTACAGTGGACTCTGTGAAGTTAGTAGTGAATTGGATAAACAGGGTAGTGAACTACTACGAGAACTACCTGACTTCCTTTTATCAGTTCCTTACATAAGATATCTCTAGTATCTATCATTGAAGGCCAAAGTCCCCCAGGCCACACAGACCCAAGAACATCGCGGCACCACAGAAAGCGACCCAGAGGAACACCAGATTTCAAAAAGATCACAAGTGAGAGTCCAGCACAGGGGACGACGGAAACTGGACGAGATAGCAAACAGACTACACCTATACAATCCAACAAATGACGATCCCCAGACTGTAATAGCATTCTTGATCCGGTTAGCAGGACAGCAACACCTAGTAGGTACAGTGGATACAGTGAGACTAATAGTGGATAAACAGGGTAATGAACTTCTACCAGAATTATTTGGAGAATCCAGTTCATGGGAGTACAACCCAAGGGAGAGATTGGATAGCAATAGTGGAGCACAACCTACCAAGTGTGGTAAAAAAATTGCCAAATCCAAGGAATTGCGGGAAATCACTGGAAGGATGGGAAGACAGCCTGGATCACATTTAAAGAGTATGGACAAACCCAAGAGAGAAGACAAAATATAGATCATGATGGAAACTGGACCACTTGGACAATCAAACAGGAGTGAAACAAGTACCAACGGAAAAGTCAGTTGTATCAAAAACGACCAGACCCAAAGAAGAATAGGGAACTCTCAATGGCAGAGAGAACTCGACTACAGGAAACAGAAAAAATCAACACAACAACAAGTTCTTAAATTTATTATTACAAACGCCAACTTAGTTGGCGGTCCCTAATGGGGGATAGAGCCATATATATATCTAAATACATTTATGTATATGTACCTGTGAGAACACACAACAAACAAAACAACAAATACACGCACACAAACACGAATATACCCACCACAGTAAAGCCCACTGCAATTCCTACACAAACCAACCCCCAACGATGACTTTGAACAACCAAGAGAAGATCCAGAGAGGGAAAATAAGCACATATGATGACTTGCGGGAAAGTCGTTCGCGGAATATATCGGCCCAGGTTTCTTCATTATCATTATCATCATTGTATCACCATTTGCTGTTGTTTCGTTTGTTATTACCATTATTGTTAATATCATTGATTATAATATCATCATTTTTATCATCACAATTAATACCTAACCAAGATTTCATTTATGCTAAAGAAAAATTAGTTCATTTGACAAAAATAATTTAGAATTAACGCTGTCTGCATATAATACAATGACGCAGAATAGTCTACCCCTATACTTTATTTTTTCTATGTACAAAGAATTCAATAAAAGAAAACGTATTAATAATCATGTATAACTTGTTTTTACAGGAAATAAAGCCTTCGAAATAAACAGAATGAGCCTAACAAGACTAAAACCAGTGTGGTATAACAGCCTTACAATATCAGGAAAAAAATGTACGTCTACGTGCGTGCGTGCAATTTACATTTCACTTCTATGTATAAACGTATAGAGCACACAACCCATAGTGCTAATATGTATAATCTCATGATAGAATCAGCAACATAGGCTTGAAAAAATCTATTTATCTTTTTACTTATATCATTATCACTGTTATTTTTAATAACGTATCATCATTGTTTCCTTTCCATCTGCCTGTTCGTGCGATAATTTTTTTTTACTGAAACTATACTTATTATACGACAAATTTGAAGTTTTTACTGCGGCGTTTTCTTTATTACTGCATTCTTATTTCATGTGACTGCGAACTTAAAGTCAGAGCATTTTTGTGTAAGATGGGTTGACGAATGACAACATAAATTGATCGGTACATTTACACACGCGCGCGCAGGTTAATCATATTAAGAATCTGTATCAGAATCCTATTCAGACTATCATTATATGTAGTTATTACCATAATTGTTATTATTGTTGACATTATTATAATAATTATTACTGTAATTATTATTATTGTCACTTAGCATTATTAATATTACAATTATAATCATTCTCATTATTACCGTCGTTATTATTTTTTATTATTAATGTTTTTGTTAGTGGTAGTATTACTATCATTATTAACACCATCTGTATTAGTAATTACCATAATTGTTATTATTGTTACCATCATTATACTAATCATGTTGTAATTATTATCATCATCATCATTAATTATCATTACTATTATAATCATTCTTTCATCATTTCTATTATTTCTATTATTAATGTTCTTGTTAGTAGTAGTAGTACTATCATTATTATCACCATCTTTATTATCCTTCTTCTTCGAGGCAAGAACATTGTACTGAAGAAGTCACACCTAGTCACTTTATGCACATTTATTATCAACACGACTACCCGAGGGAGGGGGTTTATGAAGGGAGGTAGGAGGGGAAGGAGGAAGGAAAGGGAAGGAGGAGGGGGATAGAGGGAGTAAGGGAGGGAAGGAAGAGGAAGGGGGAGGAAGAGGTAGAGGGAGTAAGGAAGAGGGAAGGAGGGAGGAGGGGTAGAGAGAGTAAGAGGAGGGAAGGAGGAAGGAAAGGAAGAAGAAGGAGGTAGAGGGAGTAAGGGAGGTGAAGGAGGCTTAAAGAAGAAAAGGGGATGATGGGGAAGGGAAACAAAGGGGACTGAAAGAGGAAAAGGGGAAGGAGGTGGGAGAGGGAACGAAGTGTATATTGAACAGCGAATTTAAGGGGAATTTGGGAGTAAGAATGAGAGAGCGGGGATGGAAATCCCAGAGGAGAAGCAGAGAGAAAAAGGAAGGTAGAAAAGAGAGAGAAAAGAGAGAGAGAGAGAGAGGGGGGGTAAATCTTTTTCTCTTTCTATTTCACTGCTCCGTGGAATTTCCATGCTAATCGTTGTTATTTCATGATATTATTATTGTTATTATCATTATCATTATTGTTATTGTTTTTGCTGTTATTATTATTGTTATTATCATTTTCATTATGTTGTTGTTTGCTGTTATTATTATTGTTATTGTTGGTTTTACTGCTACTTTATATTTATTCTTCTATCATTATTCATGTTTATTTATTGTTTTTAACAAAGTTTGTTCATTGTCATACTCATCATCACAGTAGTGTGATACAGCAAATAGTCATTCATGGATGCATCATCGTGCAGAGTCACATCCTAGCTAGGACATAAGTACCATCAAGGATCCCAATACAAGACGTAAAATATCCATGACTCCCTATGCCATCATATCGCCCTGCTGACAACCGTCACTGCACCTAATATCGAAGCGCCTGCTCACTGATGCCGTCACGATAGCTGACTATATCTTGTAGACGCTGATTCCCCAGGATGAACCCCTGTAGCTGAGTGATCAGCGAAAGCAATGGGAAGGTCCACAGGAGTATATATACCTGGAAGACTCGTAAACGGCTGTAGTGCATCGCAGGTCCGGGTGTGGACGATGAGAAGAGAGGGGGGGAGGGGGATGGGAGGGGAGGTGAAGAGGGAGGGGAGGAAGGAAGAGGTGAGAGGGGAAAGGAAAGAAGGGGAGAGATAGACCCAAGAGAAGAGGGGGAAGGAAAGAGGGGGGGGGAGAGGAAGAGAGAGAAGAGGGGAGGTGAAAGATAGAAAAGAACCGAGAGAGCGCAAGGTGTTGAGAGAGGGAGAACGAGAGAAGAGAGGACCCTGCTCTGGATGAGCGACCGGAGAGATGAGGAGGACCGAGCAGAGACAGATGAGAGATAGAGAAGAGAGAAGAGACGAGAGAGAATGTGAGAGCAGAAGAGAGAGAGTGGATGAGCCATGAGAGAGAGAGTAGGAGAGAGAGACTGTGAGAAGATGAGAGGAGAGAGAGGAAGAGGCGAGAGATTGAGAGGAGAGAGAGAGAGGAAGAGGACGATGGAGAAGGAGTAGAGAGGGACGACAGAACGACGATAGATGTTGATGAGAGTAGAAAGGAAAGAAAGAAGAAAGAGAGAGACCCAGTGGGAGACGGGCGAGGGAGAAAGAGGAAAGCGAGAAAGGGGAGAGTAGAGCCGGGAAAGGGTAGAAGGAAGGAGAGAGGCGCGGGGATGGTAGGGGAGGAAAAACAGGAGGGGGAAGGATAGAGAAAGGGGGGAGAATGGGAGGGAGGAAAGGGTGGAAAGGGTGGTGGAGAAGAGAAGAGAGAGAGAGGAACGACAGTGAAGCGGACAGGAGGAATGCGATACACGCGTCGGAGGGCAGGAGAGGAGAATCCAGCCTGAAGAAGATTGGAGAGGAGCGGAGGGTGCACAGAGAGAGAGAGGAGTAGACCTGAAGCCAATTGATGAGACAGAATCATGCTTATCTGCAGAGAAGAGGCTTGAGATCTTGATGATGTTTATGTTTTGAATGTGTGATACTTTGTAATGTGTATGTGTGACTTATTTTGCGAAGATGCGACATTATCTGTAGTAGATTGTAGTTTTTGTAGTTATTTCAGTATTGCATGTAGACAGTTTGAACATTTGTTGAGACGTATTAGAGTGAGAGCCAAAGAAAAAATTGGGGATTTGAACTGTGATGTCACGAATGAAGATTATAAAGAGAGAGAAGAGAGAACTGAGGAGATACGAGAAGAGAGAGAAAGGATGATTAAGAAAGAGAATTGCAGAGAGGAGGGAGAGCAGAGAGGAGAGAGAGAAGCAGAGGAGTGGAAGATCTACCAGCAGAGAGGGAGGGAGTCAGGAGCGGGATGGAGGACGAGGATCAGAGAGAAAAAAAAAACAAAAGTTCACTGAATTCATTTAAAAAAGATATAAGGAAAAATATAAGAATACACAGAATAACATAAATGATTTCGATTGTATAAAAAACGAGCAAGAATGATAGAGAATACCAGATGACACGACCATATGAAAGGGCGGAATAGGGAAAACTCAGAGCGACAGCAAGTCATCGCACAAAAAAAAAAATACGAAGAAACTTTTAATTAGCAGTTAAGAAGAGGGAGGTCACTTGGTAGAAAAAAACGGAAGAAGACAAACAAGAGAGAAGGAGTGTAGAGAGAGGAGATGCAGAGACAGAAGAGAGAGACTACAGAGAGCAGAGGAGATCAGAGATTAGAGAACAGAAGATGACGAAGAGAGATGAGATCGAGAGCAGAGAGGAACGGGAAGAAATGAAACCAAAGTGTACTTAAAACGCATAAAATGACCCTCCCCCCCCACAAAAAAAAAAAAAAAAAAAATCCCGAACAAATAAAAATCGGATGGCGAAGAAAACCCAGAACCAAAAAAAAAAAAAATAAAATTTGATGTAATAATAGCTTCCAATGCCAGATGAATATTAATGATAATCTAAATTGACATTCAACCATAGACCATAGGAAAAGTATGAGCGACAGCAAGTCATGCACAAAAAAAAAAATGAATTAAAAAAAAAAAAAATAAGGAAAATTTACATAGACAGTAAGACATGGAGTCATCTGGAGTGCTGCATACATTAGATATGCATATATGAATGTTTTTTTTTTAGTATATAATTATTATATAATAGATAATAATGAGATAGGGGACATTGGAGGGCGAGGGGAGGAATGGAAGAGAGATAGGACAGAATGCAGACAGATAATCAGAAAGCAGAGGACAATCTAGCAGAAGAGGGGGGGGGAGGGAAAGAGAGAAATAGAAAAAAGGAGAGAAAACAAACGAGAGAAGAAGAGAGAGAGAAGAGAAGAAGACGAGAGAGAGAGAGAGAAGGAGAGAAGAGAGAGAGTGATGAGAGAGAGAAGAGAGAGAGAGAGCAAGAGAGAGACAGAGGAAGAGACAGAAGAAAAAACAGAGAGAAAGAGGAGAGAGAGAGCCTAGACATACATTTATATACATTATGTATACGTGGCCTGTGTGAGAAACACACATACAACACGCACGCACACAAACACACCACACACAAACAAACACGCCCACACACACTAACAAACGTTGCACACACACACACACACCACACACACACACACACACACACACACACACACACAAACACACAACAACCACACACACACACACACACACACACAAACAAACACACAATCAAACACACACACACACACACACACACACACCACACACACACAAACAACGCACACACACACAAACAAACAAAACACACGCACACAAACTCAAAACCTTACCCCACCACAGTAAAGCCCACTGCAATTCCTACACAAACCAATCCCCAACGATGACTTTGAACAACCAAGAGAAGATCCAGGAGGGAGAAATGAGCAACATATGATGACTTGCGGAAAAGTCGTTCACGGAATATATATTGAGCGGATTTTGCCCCTGCTTCTTCAGTTGCGTTTGAGACGTCGGAAGGGGAGGTGCACGATGAGCGACAAACATTTAGCTGCTGGTGAGACTTGGGAGACATTTTGTGGTTGTTGTTGTTAAATTCCTTGCTTATTTTGTGTTCTTGTTGATAGCTGTTGTTTTGGTTTATTTTGGTGGCGTTTGATGTAAGTAGTACTATCATAATTGTTAAAATTGTTAACATCATTATAATCATTATTGCTGGAATTATTATTGTTATATCATTATTATCATCATTACTATTATTACCATTATAATCATTCATCATTTATTGCTATTATTACCATTACTATCACACACACACACACACACACACACACACACACACACACACACACACACACATATTATATATATATATATATATATATATATATATTATATATATATATATATGTGTGTGTGTGTGTGTGTGTGTTGTGTGTGTGTGTGTGTGTGTGTGTGTGTGTGTGTGTGGTGTGTGTGTGTTGCATATATTTTATAATACACTAATCATACACAAAAATATAGTATGAAATGTAATATAACTTGACATAGCAAGCGATTCCCACATTCACCTCTTCACAAAATCCCCCACAAGCCTCTTAATAATCGCATATTTTGAATTTCCATAATTTTACCCCCCCCCCCCCTTTCCTCCCCCAGGGTCGACATGCCCCCCCCTGCACCCCGGGGTATTGAGGTGCTATAGCATGCGGTATTGCCCCTTCGCCCAGCGCACTCGGTTGGTCCTCGACGTCAAGGGGGCAAGTAAATATTTTTTTCTTTTCGTTGTTTTTCTTTTTTTTTTTTTTTTTTTTTTGTCTTGGTGGTATTTTTTCTTGATTTGTTTCCTTTTTGTTGTTTTTAATTTTCTTTTCGTTGTTTTTCTGTAATTGTTTTTTTTTCTGTCTTGGTGGTATTTTTCTTGATTTGTTTCCTTTTTTTGTTAAGTGTTTTTAATTTTTCTTTTCGTTGTTTTTCTGTAATTGTTTTTTTTTGTCTTGCTGGTTTTTTCTTAATTTTTTCTTTTTCATTGTGTTTTTCTTTTTTTTTTTTTTCTTTTTGTCTTGGTCTGTTGTATTTCTTTCGCTTTCTTTCTCTTACACACTCGCTCTTTCTCTCTCTTAATTTTTCCCTCTTTTGCTCCTTTCGATATATTTTTCTTCTGTCTTTTTTGTTGTTGTTTCTTGCAGTCTTTATCTGTTTTTTCTTTCTTTCTCTAATCTCTCTCTCTCTCTCTCTCTCTCTATCTCTCGTCTCTCTCTCTTCTCTCTCTCTCTCTCTCTCTCTCTCTCTCTCTCTCTAATATTATATATATATATATATATGTATTATGTGTGTGTGTGTGTGTGTGGTGTGTGTGTGTGTGTGTGTGTGTGTGTGTGTGTGTGTGTGTATTTCCCTAGAGTTAAAAATCGAGCCATTAATAGGTATCATAATTGTCCCCAATCAATAAAACCATTATCCAATGAAATCTATAACAACCTCCTTTTTTGTTTACATTTCAACTTCGAAATCGTCAACATCAATTTGCAGAACAAACCCGACTGGTTCTTGGCCAAAAATCCTTTAGGGAAAGTGCCAGCGCTGGAGATAGACGGAGAAACAATATTCGAATCTGACATTTTGTGCGATTATCTGGACGAGTTGTACCCTGAGCCCGCGCTTTACCCTAAGGATCCCTGGAAGAAGGCTAATGACCGCGTCTATGTAGAGCTTTTAAAGGTGAGGGATCGTGGTTATAAATCTTGTTTTGGGTGTTATATCTATTCGTTCATTTTTTTGCAAGTTTTATGTGGTTAATTGTTACATATATATGCACATATGTGCGTATGCCTGTCTATTTATTAATCTATATATACATATACTGCATATATACATGTGTACACACACATGCATATATATATATATACATATTATATATATATATATATATATTATATATATATTATATATATATATATATATATATTATATTGCCATGGTTTTTCTTCATTACTGTCATTATATAATCTATCATTGTTTAATCATCATCATTATCATCATTATCATAATCAACATCATTATCATTATCACTTCTCTCCACAGGTATATGCACCTATGTACAAGATCTATTTCGCAAAGGGAGACAAGCAGGTGATAGCAAAGGCATTTGAAGAATTCCTGTCTGGTCTGGATATCTTCGAGACCGAACTGGCCAGGCGAGGGACCACTTACTTCGGGGGGAGAGAAACCAGGTAAGCGTGAGAGACCGAAAAAAAAATATTGTGAGAGAGAAACGCTTTTATTCAGAGACATTTCGGACACATTTTTCGGTGAGGGCGGAGTCCTGGTCGGCTCTGACTGGTGCTCAGCGGTGATTGGCTGTGCACGAGAAAGCACGTCGGTACGGTTGAAAGCAGCGCACGAGAAAGCACGTCGGTGATTGGCTGTTGCACGAGAAAGCACGTCGGTGATTGGCGAGAAAGCACGTCGTGATTGCGCTACTGCACGAAAGCACGTGATTGCACGAGAAAGCACGTCGGTGATTGGCGTTGCACGAGAAAGCACGTCGGTGATTGGCTACTGCACGAGAAAGCACGTCGGTGATTGGCTACTGCACGAGAAAGCACGTCGGTGATTGGCTACTGCACGAGAAAGCACGTGGTGATTGGCTTACTGCACGAGAAAGCACGTCG